GAACACACAATTATGTCACATTAAACTTCATGTTTGTTCATGTGTTTATTCCTGTGGCTTTGGGGATTAATCTATTGGGGGTTAGTCTATTTTTTTTTGTTACCTATCTTAATTGTAATGAAATTCTGATCTAAACTTTTGTAAGAGATCCTAGTTCTGTATTATATATCATTTTATATAATTCTACAAAGTTTAATCCTTGACATGCCTTTAATAAAAATTGGACTGTGTAATCTTGAATCAGGGTGTGTATGTTAAGTACTGATAGATATACTATCGGTACATTTGTGCATATGCATGTGTGTATGTGCGTGTGTGCGTGTGTGTGTGTGTGTGTGTGTGTGTGTGTGTGTGTGTGTTGTGTTATTTTGGCCTCCCAGGATTCATTTCTTCTTCTTCTGGCAACAGCACCTTTGTGTCTTTGGGTGAGGGGGTCTCAGTGGGTCTGCTGGTCAAAGTTTTTGCTTTCCTCAACACTAAGTGTGGGCATATGACTGAAAACAGATCAAGTGGGAAGGAGCATATCACAATGGGAAAAGGCTTAGACTCTGGGTTCTAATCTCAGCTCTGCCACTTACTGGGTGTTTGACCTTAAACAAGTTACTTAATTTCTTTGTACCTTGATTTCCTCATCTGTAAAATGGGGATAATAGTAGGTTTGTCATGAAGAATCAGTAAATTAACATTTGTGAAAAGCTTAGAGCAATGCCTGAGCTTTTTAAGTAACAGAGTAGCCTTACTTAAGTATTAGTTAAGTTGTAGAAACAATGACCAATTTGGTAGCAATAGACATCCCTAGTATCTAGATTGTAGTTTTGAAATACCTTTTCCCACTAAGAGAAATCAGTGCTTTTTGAAGAAATGGCTGATTCTAGGTCTGAGGTAGGAAATGTACAAAATGAGCCTTGAACTCCTTGTTATTCCAGATAGCAAGGAAACTAATTTGAAGAGGTTCCCATTGACCAAAGATGGGCAATTTGAACTTCAGTAAGGATAATTTCAATTGAATGAACCCCATCAAATGTGAACCCCATCAAATATACAAATATATCATTATATGTATAAACAACATAATTGATTGCCTTCAGGGGATGATAGCAAACCAATTCATTATCTTAAAAACTGGTAAATAAAGGGAAAGAATCAAGAAATTATTCTTATTCATATTTTTTTACCACTAGGTAAACAAGCACAACATGAGGGAAAACATCTCTTGTGAAAAATAAATGATACCTTAGTCAGTTTGAACTGCTATAACAAATTACTTTTGACTGAGTGATTTAAACAACAAACATTTATGTCTCACTGTTCTGGAGGCTGAAAGTTTGAGATCAGGGTGTCAGCATGGTTGGTTTGGGGTGAGGGTCCCCTTCCAGGTTGCAGAAAGTCAGCTTCTCTTTGTATCCTTACTTGGTGTAAAGAGCAGAGAGATGAAGCAAACTCTCATGAGATTCTTATAAGGGTACTAACCCCATTCATGGGGGGCCTGCTCTAATGACCTCACCTAATCCTAATCACCTCCCACAGACCCCACCTTTCAATACCATTACATTGAGGAGCAAGGTTTTAACATATGACTTTGGAGGCAGGCACAAACAGTCCATAACAAATGACAAATTGGAATTTCAATATTTTGCAGTTCCTGGTGAATTAATGGATCTAGGTATTTAGCATTAATGCCTATCAATGTCATAAACAGACATTGATATTATGTTCTGCCTGATGAAGAACATATACCAACCATCACTTAGTCTTGCCAAAGAGACCATATTGGAGTTTGATCAATCCTCTGGATCCAGGTGTCAATTTGAAAATTTTGGAAGACAGAAACAGTGGAATACATTGAACTGCATCATGAGGCTGCAATCAGTAAAACCCAGACTATGGGAAACTATTCTGGTCAAATAACCCCAGTCCTTCAATAGGTAAATTATAAGGAAAAAAAAAAAGGAAAGGAAAGAAGGATTGAAGAAAACCTGCATATTAAATTACCGCACCCCTCCCCCCCAAAAAAAGCCTAGATAAATATAAAAAGGGCAAGACTAAATTACAGTGT